AAAGAAAGAAAGAAAGAAAGAAAGAAAGAAAGAAAGAAAGAAAGAAAGAAAGAAAGAAAGAAAGAAAGAAAGAAAGAAAGAAAGAAAGAAAGAAAAATCCACCACCCAAGAACCAAAAAAAACCCCAAAACCCTCCTCATTGAAGGAATGAATTAAAAAGATGACCCCGGAAAATGTGGCAGCCTTTTTATTTGATGAGGAATCAAGTTCATACAGCGTGTCAGCAGAGGTGCTGCGCTTTGGTCTTTTATTTGTTTCCTGGCAATAAGAACATTCCTTTTTAAGCTGATATCATCCTCTCATCTTCTCCCTCCCTCTGCCTTCCCCTCTCTTCCTCTTCTCGCATCCTTTTTCCTTCCTCCCCTTTCTCCCTCGCCCCTTTCTCCCTCGCATTCTCACATACATTACCCCTTCCTTTCATCTCGGGGCTGACCTGAAATGACCTTTTGCCTGGCACTAGACGTGACTTAACTGATAATAGCAGATACTCGGGGGCCTCAAGCGGTGGCTTGTCTGAGCACGTAGAGGGAGGGCAGAAAGAAAGATCCTTTTTTTTTTTTCCCCTTTTCTTCCCCCCCCCCCCCCTCCTTTCCTCATAGGCAAAACATGGATTTCTCTTTGTAGCAGCGTTTCCTGCAAGGTAGCAATTAATGACGCTTTGTGCCGCTCGTTGCCCGTTAGATCAAATCCTTCCAAAGCTTTCCCTGCGGTGTCTGTCCCAGCACACGAGGGAGGGGCAGGGAGGGGAAGTCTGTCTGCAAGCGGCCGGCAGCCCCGCACCATCGCTCGGCCGCCACCGGCTCCGCATTGCGTCTGCTGCCTTTGTGCTCCGGCTTCAGCCAAACCCACGTCGGAGCAGCACAAACGTCCTTCTGTCTTAAATAATCAACACTTCTAGGCGGCCCATCCGGCCACAAGGTTATTATTTTGCTCCTTAATGTCCCTCGAAGCCATCGCGGTAAAGATAAGATTGCAGGCGGACCCGCTGGGTTTTTATTTTATTATTTGATTTGATTTTTTTTTATAATGTTAACTATTTATTTGGATACTCGGCGAGGTTGGGTGAGTTACCACAGCAACGACTCTGCATCTTGAACATGAAAGGGCTCTTATTGTGCCATGTGGTGCCTCAGAGATACAGAGAAAGGAGGAGGCGGGGAGGAGAATTCCTCTTTAAAGAAACAATAGCCAAACATTATGTGAACTCGGGGGCTTTATAATAAAGTTGGGAGGCAAAAAAAAAAAAAAAAGAAAAAAGAAAAGAGAAGGGGCTGCAGCGGTCTGCGGTGAAAAAATGTGCTGACTTACAGAACTTTGGATAAAGAGGTGTGCGTGTTTATAGAAATATTAATGAATTAGCTGTTAAATAAAAGCTGAATATATATACACGTATTTCATTCTCTCAGCAGATCGTTTGCTGGTCGGGCTGTCAGACTGCCCAGGCAGATCAGAGCTGAGGGTCAGAGCCCAAGATATGGTTTTTATTTAATTTTATTTTATGAACTTTGTTCTGCTCTTTCTTTGGAGAGAAAGGAAAAGGGGTGGGTGTTAAAGTGTCCAGAAAGGAACCGCAGCACGGTCTGTTCCCCATTGTCCAAAATAATGGGGTGACTGAATCCCCAGACAATGAGGAAACCTGGATAATAGGGTTACTAAAGGATGCGGAGCAGAAGTACATGAATGGCTGCACGCAGAGCTGAGCGAGATCCAGGGGAGCTTGTTAGCTCAGATTTTCACTGTCCTGCTTGGACCCAGGCTGCGATGCACATTGTGCCACCTGCACATCCCTGTGCTGGCACCCAGGGGGGTCTGCGTGCTGCAGAGCACATCCCTGCGCTCAGGTTGAGCCCCACAGACCTGCTGTGCTCTGCATGGGGCCAGCTGGAGGTTCCCTGCTCTGCCCCACACTCGGAGGAGTGCACGTGTGCAGACTTACCACTGATATCTGGGGATGGATTGAAGTTCTCAGACCAAGGAGCCTGTTGGGCTCAGTGCAGCTGTATGCAGAAATGGCTGCTGCTTGCAGTGACCACACCTTCTGTTGTTAGGATAAAGGCACCCTGCCCAGGTGTGCTGCATGGAGGAAATGGAGCCCTTCAATGCCCTGCAGGCCTTCCCTGGGAGGGTCTTTGGCCCAGGAAGCAGCCCTTTGCTTGGGTTACTGTGCTCTGTTTTCTCTTCTGCATCTTTGAGAATGCGTTGCAGAACTCACCAGCGCTTTGTTGCCTGCTGTACCTCGCAGGTAATGCATTTCCTTTACTAAGATCCATTTGTAAACCAGTTCAGGTTGTTCTTCCAAGTAGTTACCTTAGCTCTATGCCTTGTCAGCATGTGGGTGAGGGTGGAGGGAGGGATGGGCCAGCTCAGGAGGACATCTCAGCAGCCTTCTCTGCAGTTTCAGCTTGTTTTGCTTCATGTGGTTGGTAGCGAGGTGCTAACCATTGGGACAAGCCTCAAAGCACCCTGTGAAACCTGGCCTTGTCTCCTATGCCTTGATACAATTTATGTGGGGGATCGTGCAGCCAGGTGGGGAACTTGTATGGTTTCTAGGCTTTGGTCAGACAGAGTTCTTGGAGTTCCCCTGAAATTTCCTAGAAGTACCACCTTTTGACAATGGAAAATAAAAAGGAGTCCTGGGCTTCACTGAAAGTTAACATTAGCAATTTAAAATCCACCATGTATCATACGTTCAATACTTCCCATTCCCCTTTGCTTTGGGATATGCAAATCTTAGTGTATGAATTAGTAATGCTTACTGAAGGCAGAAAGGTATAAAGATACGGCAGTGGGAGCCACAACCTCTTTGTGGAGTCTTTGGGGTGTTCAGCCTCATCATCTGCTTACACACTTGTGCTGTGCATGCCCAGAGTTTGCTGTCGGCACGCTTTTATAACAAGATTGTTTCTTCCCAGCCTTGAGAGCATCATGTTTAGAGACCTTACATTTTGAATAGTATTGCATAACTACTTAGGATTACTTTCACTCTCCAATGCAGGTTCGAGCTCTGTTCTTAATTACCTGGCTTTCCAGCTCTTCTTTTTAGAGAACAGACTCTCAGTTGAGTGGGTTAAATGACTGTTGCAGGTGAAGGACAAGGCAAATCATGGTTTACTGCCTGAAAAGCGTGGCTATGTGACGTGATGATTGTATTTTCCTGAGCGCGTTAAAGTGTCAGCTGTCTGAATGTCTGCGGTGGTGGCATCATAAAAGATTTCTGGTTTCTTTCATACGTAGTGGGCTGAGGTCTGTCAAGGTAATATTGGCATTAAACCTGCCTCTAATTTTCAAAATATATGTGAATGGGAGAGTAAGAAAAGGAGCGGTGTTAAATCGCTGATCTCTTTATCAAGAAGAAAAAAAAATGATGCAGTGGAAGAAGTGAAGTGTATTTGCCTTTGATGGCTGCTCAGGTTAAGGAATAATGGCATATTATGGGTTAGCAGCCAATGGAGTTATGCTTGTAACTCAAGTCGCAGTGGCCTCTGCTGAGTGTTTCAGGTTCAAAGGCTCCTAATGGGGCACGGAGCAGCCACAGCCTGAGAACTGCACCCAGGAGCAGCTGTGTGTGCAGTGTGGGGCTGCCCATTGCAAAGGCACACTCCAGGCTCAGGACCAGTGTTTGACTCTACACGTTGTTCCATACACTGCCATCACCTCTGTCTTCCTGCTTGTGTCCTTGTGGCTCTACTAAAGCCCACCTCCAGTCACCAGAGTGCCTTCTGTTGGCACAGGTTCCTCAGAACACCTGAGGCCAGCTGAGAGGTAAGATGAAACAGGAGGTGGATCTGAGGCCATGTGAATATTGCTCTGCTCCAACACCTTCCAATCTGCTTATAATCCTGTATTTGGAGAGTATCTCTCACAGTGGGAACATTACAGATGTAGCTGTTCCTTAGCGATGGGACAGAGCACTGTGAAGGAGCACAGCGTCCTGGTGAGGTGGGAGGAGTCCAATTTGCTGTGCCTGGTGATGCTCCTCTGCCCATCCATGGCCTCTGTGCCCACAAAAAACCCACTGCTCCCCACTTGCTGGTATGGATAGGACCTCTCCTGGCAGTCCCAAGCTCATGGTGTATCAGGCACTCAGCAGGCAACTGTTTCCTCTGCAATCAGTGGCTTAACTCCTGTGTGCTAACAACACCAACAAAAAGTGATTGAGATAAGCTGAGCTTATTCGAAACTGTTGAGTACATTGAGCATGTGGGAATGGCTGCTAAAAGCATTTGTATTGCTTAGTAATTTGAAAGTAGAGAAACATAAAAAGGAAATGATGTCCACAGTGAGTTGGATGGTGTTCCTGCATCTGGGGAGACAAGAGCTGGAAACTGGAGTGTTACTTAAGAGTTTTGACCCCTGAAACTTGTGTCTCCTTCCAGCTGGCAAGTGAACAGTGCTAAGCATGTAGTGGTGCAGGGAATGGCTCAGCGAGTCCTCCAGCAGAGCTCTGCTTTTGGGAGGGAAAGGGGAGAGGAAGCTGCAGACCTCTGCCTCTTTCTGCCCCACGTGTCCCGTTGTGCCCATGTGTGCTGCTGCTCCGAGGGGTCTGTGATGACTGGTGATGGAAACTGGGCAATGTTCCACGGTCTCACCTCTTCCATTAATTTCACCGCATAACCTTGGGCATGTAACCACAATCTCTCATCTGTGAGTGGGAGTGGAATCGCTCGGTATGCCTTGAAGTGAAGGCTCCCCGCTGCCCGCGCATCGCTCTGCCCCAGCCCCCAGCACCTGAGCTCTGCTGAACCGCTGCAGGGAGCAGCAAAGTGCTGGAGGCACTGCTGGGTGACTTGGGACTGCCGTGCTGCAGGCGGTGACATTTCGGCAGCTGATGCTCCACCAGCTCAGGTGAGGGCAGGCAGCCAGGCTGAGCACTGCCAGGCATCGGGGCGTTGCATCTGCATGTGCTGTAATTAACCAGCAGGAGATGGCAGGCGCTCAGGAGAGGCTTTCTTAACTGATGCTCACTGGACAGGCTGACATCTGCAAATTTCAGACACAACTTGCACTGTACCCAATGGGCCTACATCCCTCAGTGCTGTGTTGGGCGTGTGGGCACAGGACAGAGGCACTCGGGTTGAAGAAGGCTCCTAGAGGAGGAAATTGTTTCCCTTAGAAGTTTCAAATAGAAAGGAAGTAAACAGCCTGAAGTGTTTTGAGGGGTCAGTGGGCTGATAAACAAAAAAACAGAGTGCAGCATCTTCTCATCCCATGGAGCAGGGTAGCCCAGCACCTCCCGTTGCCCTTGCTTTGTTACAGTAACATTGCAGCTTAAGTGGCTGTGCTTTTCTCCCTTACGTACCAGCTGAGTTCATAGGCAAGTTTCATTAATGATTATAATTTAATTGCATAAATTTCTTGCATGCTGATAGAAGAATAGGCCCCCTGCTTAAGTGTGCAAAGTGCTCTGGAGTGCTTTTTCCTCTCCTTCTCCTTGTGTTATGACTTGTTTCTCTAAATGTTGTTTTTGCATAATTATTTGTTTAAATGTCAGAAATGCTACAAATCCTGCAAACACCACTAGGTGTAGCACTCAATACCAGCAGTTTTAGTCCTGCTGACTTTTTTTTACAATTATGTGTTTATGGCAGAAGTACATTTTAAAGTGGTTTCCAAGTAAACACAAGACAAAACTGTTTGCATGGAAAGCTTTACTGAGACATGCATGTATTGATTGCACTTACAAATAATAAGTAACAAATGAGAGGCTTTCAGTCCCCTAGCAGTTACTGAAGTAGTTACTTCAAGGTCTGCAGTGATACAGAGATACGTGAATGCACCCAGACACTTTAAAAACTACTAAATCCATACAGGATCTGATCAAAAGGAAACGTGTAACGTGCAGTGGTGAGGTGCAGAGGTAAAACAGTGGTGGTAGTCGCATAAATAGACAGCAGTACTTGCAGGACAGGGTGCTATTAAATTCATGGGATGTAAGACAAACACACCGTGGCACTCACTTTGACCCTGCAAACCACTTAAATGGGATCAGCTAAGACAAGTCACCATCAGCCCAAGAAAGGATGAGGGAAGTCTTAAGAAGAAAGGAGAGTGCTTCGAATGAATCAGCAATCAGTGGTCTGAAAGAGAGGAGGAACAACCAGCACAACAGATGTGTTCAGGTGAAAGTTAGAGGTGGATTGGTGCAAGCTGACAAAGGCTGCTTGGGACTTTCTGAATGGAGAATCGGCATCAGTATATCCCAAACCAACCTTTTCATGGTGTCAGTTCTAATGATGCTTTCCATGAGCCTTTTCAGATGGCTTGATAAAGAATCTCGCCTTCTCTTCTTCAATCTTGGGAAATTAACTACCGAGGTCCCCAAATCACGGTGGTCACATTTGAGGTTGTCCATCTTGCTGCTGGGGATGATTTGTGGCCACTGCAGAACTGCTGCTCTTTGGGATCCTCCTAAAACATTGATGCTCCTTGGGGTGGCCTGCTGCCCTTCACCTTGCCCCACGTCTTTGCAAAGCATGTGGGAAAGCCTTAACAAAGCGATGGAATCCCCAGAAGGGAGCTGTTAGAATCCTTACAGGCTGCAAAATTCAGTACTGACAAAATCAAACATTGATAAGGAACAAAAACAAAGGAAGAAAAGTAAACTTTCACCTTTCTTCCCCTCTCCCCCGCAGACTGTCATGAGCTAAACGCAGTGTTTTAGAAAGAAATGTAACATATAATCCCCAGGTAAAGCTTAATAATTCTCTCTGCTGCAAAATTTGCTTTATAAATGACTTTCCACTCCTCTCACCCCACTCTGATTCCGGAGCATTGCGCACGCTGGCAATGAAGACCTTTTTTGTTGGAGTGCCAAAGTTGAACTCACCAGCGACTTTAAGTGGAAAAAATGAAATGGATCCGTTTGTTGCATGGGGATGATGTGTATCCTGTGCAAAGCACCGGAGCAGGAATTTAAGGCAGACTGTACTGGCCTGTAGCTGAGGGAGATGACTGGGGACACGGGTATTTGGTTTTGTTATGGCTTGACCCTGTTGTTGTGCATATTGACAGTTGTCATCCTCCTCTGAAATGTTTATGGGCAAAATATGGAGCTTGCATTGCAGCTGGTTCCTGGAGATGCTACATCTGGAGATTGGCAAGCGGGAACTCATAGGCTGAGCTCTGGCTAGCTGCTGGCTAGCCACATAGTAGGGTGTTTGACTTTGGTTGGAATGGTCCATACAGGAACATAGCAGTCACCATTCAAAGGAATCTTCCATCTTTGCTAAGGTTCTAAGCTCA